TTTAAAAACCTCCAGTGTTGGAGCACCACAACGTTTGGAGGCAAGTCGTCCTACTGATTAATTGTTCTCACTGTCAGAAAATTTAGTTGGTTCTGTCCTTGATTACTTTCCCTCCCTTATTTCTTGTCTTGCCTTCTTGTGCTGTGGAGAATAGGTTGACTCCTTGTTTGTGGCAGCTCCTTAGATATTGGAACACGGCTGTCATGTCATGAATACCCTTTTCCATGAATGCCTTTTGCGGTTTCCAAGTAATCTTGGGCAAAAACAAATTTTGTTTCAGGTATCTGCACAGTGGTGGTATTCAGCCAGTTCGCACTGGTTCACATGTACCAGTAGCAAGGATTGGGCATGGTTCGCCGAACCAGTAGTAACTTCTCACTGGCCATGCCCCTGACCCACCCGCCTGGTCACTGCTTGCTCACTTGCCCTACCTATTTGATGCTTGCTCACCTCACCCGCCTGATGCTAGCCTGCCCAGTCACTCTTTAAGGTATTTCCTTTTTTCCTCTCCAACAATCAGCTATTCCTACAATCAACTGTGCCAGGATTTCCCTCGAAAACTTGGTGCTTCATGCAGGACACTTCCCCGAGACCCATTTCTTGCCTTCCTGGGCCCAGGGAGGCCCCAAAATAGAGCATGGGGGGTGCTGTGTGCCCCCGGTTCAGTTTTCTGCCTTCCTGAGCCCTAGGGAAGCCTTCTGGGAGCAAAAATGCTCCCCAGGAGGCTTCCCTGAGGCCCAGAAGGCCCCCAAACATAGCATGGGGGAGTGTCCCAGCTCAGTTTCCTGCCTTCCTGAGCCCCAGGGAAGCCTTCTGGGAGCAAAAATGCCCCCCGCCCCAAGGAGGTTTGCCTGAGGCCCAGAAGGTCCAAAAATGGGGGGGGGGGTGCTGCAAAAAAAGCCATGCCCACCTAGCAACATGGCCACACCCCCTAGCCCACATAAATGGGAGTAAAAAAAAATGAATCCTACTATTGTGTCTGTAGTAAGTGCTACACATGTTCACATTTTATTTATTTATTCAATAAATAAATAATTCATATTTATTTATTTATTTAATATTTATTCAATTTCTATAGCTGCCCAACTCAAACAAATGACTCTGGGTGGCAAATAATAATAAAACAATAAACAATAGTT